ATTTGGGCATGCTGGGTTTGCTGTGTGCTGATGCTTTCATGCCATGAAGCTGCAGACTGAGCGTGCTCACAGTCACGGTTTTAATTTGAAACTCTTCGCATACATTTCCTGTCAGGACTGACAGACGGTGGCGCTGCAGAGCCCTCGTCTTTCTGGGCCATAAAAAGTTCCAGTTCATAATTTGTGTTGCTGTGAGGAAAATCAGGAATCATGAGGGGAAATGATTAAAGGCACTTTTTATTTTCAGACGTGTTGTTGTTTTTAAATGATTCAGATTCATTCTTGGACTCGTTTACAGCAGCTTTGTGTCGGCCTCAGAGGTTCCTGTTTTGGGGTCCTGATCTCTGTTTTTAGGTTCTGGTTCTTTTTACTCTTATAGCCTGTCAAGTCTTTCCCTCCTTTGTAAGGTGGCCCCGCCCTATCTGTCCTCACCTGCTGTGATAGTGCTCACCTGTGCTCTGTCGTTCCTGTGTTTAAATCGTATTAAATTAATCCAATTTGATAAATTTTTATTGCTTAAAATGATCAGACTGTGTGAAGTCAGCAGTGTCAAATCATGTGATGTGACTCACGGCGTCCTGCAGTCAGTGGTTCGACCCTCCACCCTGCCGGGATCGAACAGTAGGGAAGCGGGGCAGCTGTGACAGATGTGGAGCTACCAGCTGAAACTATCCTCTATTATTCCGATCGGCGCTGCATTTTCATTAAAGCGAATTCCTTTTGATTCGGTTAAACCAGACTTTGTCCTCCTTGTTTCGTTTGGTCTGCATGAGTTACTTTCATGAAGACGTTTGAATGTTTCTGTCACTTTTGTGATTCATTTTTGATGCTGGAGGTAAAAGTCAGACAGCGACAGTAATAAACGACCCGAGACAGACTTTTATCTTTATTAAATATAATAAATGTGAGATAAACGCAGTTTCTCTCTCATGAGGTGAAATCTTTGTCTCCTTTGAGGCAGTAATCCATCATTTCATTACCAGCAGGACGAACATTAACAGCAGTATATTTGTTTTTGTTGATTTACTCTTTGAGGTGTTCAGCACTTGTAGTTTTTATAAATAAGGAGTCTTGCTTTGTTCTTTTTATTTCATTTCTTCGATTGAAATGTTTTTCTCCTTTTTATTGCAGCTTTAGTTGATCGTTGTCTTAATCCTTTTTTCCCGCCTGCAGTACTGCAGTGTGAACACAGGGGGCGGCAACGCGACGTCACCCGGGTTCGCTTCCCTTTAAGGACGCAACGGGTTTTACGTCATCGGAGAGAGATCCAATCGGTGGTCGCCTCCGCATGAGTCCCCGCCCCGTAGAGAAACCGCCATTACAAAATCAAAAACAGAGCTGACAGGTGATCGGCGGCTCGCGCGCAGTTTCGGGAGCAGGTGAGTGTTTCTCAGCTGTTGATCCACTGTTCCTCCGCGGGATTCCGGAGGCTCGTGTGCGGCTGCGCCGGGCCGGTTTATCGGCGGGTTATCGCTCGGTGACTGTTGAGCGACTAACGGCGGCGTTAGCACGCGGTGCTAGCTGCAGCCGTCCGCCGATAAACGGTAACGGCAGGTTCACGTTTTCCATTCACTTGCGGACCGTCTGCGCACAGGTGACCGCCAGGTCAGCGGGCTCGGCGGCGAGGAGGGAGGAAGCTGCTGGGTAGCGCTCAGCCTGTTAGCGGCTAACTGCGCGCCAAGAATCCGCAAAGGGCGAAGAAACAAACAAAAGCCCGCAAAAATCCCCCAGAGGGAAACCTGAGTGTTCCACACGAGCGCCTGCGCACACGGGGACAGGTGTTCACCCCCCACACACCTGCCCGCGTTTCATTCAGCGAACATTCACAGTAAAGTTAAACTGGGCTCCAGGCATTGATGGCTAGCACCCCCGCTGCCAGACTCCGTTCAGAATTCAGTAGATTTTACAAAGAGACGCACCTGCCAGGTAAAA